CGGTTCAGCCGGGGTAGCTTTGGCCCCAGCGGGAGGCTGGCGGTCCGACTAACCAAGGTCCTTACAACCTCGATTGACCCAAGACCCCCTTGGGTGATTCTGTTTGATTTTGAGGCCAATCCAACTCAAGGTTGCATTTTTCCCAGCATTACCGTCAGGATGTTGTACCACCTCCACTTCCCTGAACCTCTCACCTCCCCTTCACTGTGGCCTCCGCAGGGTATCCTCTATGCTCTCGGCGTACGGAATAACGTATATTCGGTATGTGATAATACAATGTATATATTGTAGACTTTCTATCCTAGTTCCAAGTTAAATTAGATGTATTCGAGAGACACATATATTGTGACTCAAGTCAACACTGGACCTAGTTTTGTAAATTGTAAGGCAAAACACAAGGAAGACCGCTAATGGACCTAATGAATTTCAGTCCGTTTTTCTCTGACAGCCCTTCCTATACATTTTCTAACTCAGAAATGGTACTCATTCCCTTTTACTAAAGTTTCATTATGTGAGAAACTTGTAATTTACCCTATGATTACTTGGTATTCTAGTCAGTATTTAATGCATCACCTATTTAAATTCAACTATTTACAAAACATTGCAATATGTCAATGACTGTACAATGATGCCTTCTTCCATCTTTATGGCTCTTAAAATGGAACTGGACTTCTTGAAGAGAAAGTTTGACAAGAATTATCATAGTGTTCTAGATAATTGGGGAAAACAATATTGCTGTAGCAATGGTTAACTATAAATTACACTGAAACAGTGGTTCAGAATATGCTACCCCAGAGTATGGCCTCTTGGCATTTGGGAAAGCAGTAAAACTAGAAAGACTGCTTTTGACTTTCTCCCACCCTTCTCCCCTGAAGTGCCTCAGAGGACCTTCATTCCACAGGTGTCCTCCCTATACCTAGTGGAAAGGAAGGAACATCCTCCTTGGTGAAGACGCAGAGACACAGACAATCTGAACAAACAAGCCTTTCTAGTTCCCGTATTATCATTATCTTAGTCACTCCCTTTTATCTAATCATACTTCCCCAGATTGTCCACTCTTCATTAGAAAAATACACAGGTTTCCTATTTATTTGGGTCTTCATTTCTGAAGGCTTCAGTGTCATGTAAAACTTATCATTAAATAAATGTATATGCATTTCTCTCTAACTTGTTTTTGTTAAGTGGGCCTCAACCATGAATCTAGTGATAGGAAAGACATTTCTCATTCTCTATATACTCCTATCTCAACCTGAGGAAATCTTAACTCAGAGATCAGGGCCCAGCAGTCTGTGTTTTAACAAGCCCTCCAGATGACTGATGCATGCTAAAGCTTGAAAATCTCTGAGAGGGTATGATATAATACCTGCTTTATTATGCAACTCTACTATTTAGGATGACCATGCCACATGCTTTGTGATGGGAATAAAGTAAAGGTTGTACAATAGTGACATCAACACAAAGATTAAGAATATCTTACCTGGGGAACAGCAGATGGTGTAGGGGTTAAAGTGCTAGACTCCTGCATGGCCGACTACAGTTGAAGCGCCAGATCTGGTAACTTGAAAAGTAATCCAGGCTTGAGCCAGTGGATGGCTTAGGGGTTACGTTGCTAGTCTATCACATGCCTGATTATGGTTGGCGTCCCTCACCCAGACCCAGTAACTTCAAAATTGTGTTGGTGCATGTGTGTGCATTCCCTAGATCCAGGGAGGAGAATGGAAGAGAAGGGATTGCAGTGTGGCCATCCTCCTTGGGGGGTGATTTCTCACTTTCCTTCTTTCTGTCTCTGTCTGGCTCTCTCCCTGACAAATGCATGTACCCTATGGCAAAACAAAAAAAAAAAAAAAGAAGAAGAAGAATGTCTTACCTCAGTTGATCCCACAGCACAGCAGTTAAGTGCTACACAGATAAAACCAGAGCCTACATGATTCACCAGGGTTGAAATCCTGTCCTATAAGCTTGAAAAGTTTATCTGGGGGCTCGCACATGCCCAGGATCCTGACAGGATGGAAAATTGGAGGAAAAAGAATTGTGGGGTGATAGGCCCTACAGAGGGGGTGCACTCTCTCACTTTCTTTCTTTTGACTTCTCTCCCATGCATGTACATATGCCTTCTGGCAGGAATGAATGAATACCTTACCTTAAGAACTTTATCTGTGAGTTAAGACCATTGCAGTCTAACACCTCAAACTTGCCTACCACCATGTTTTCCCATGGAAACACTACCCTTCCATCAAAATTCTTGTCTCTTGGGGAATCTTTTTTATCTTCTGAATGTTATTGCTCTCCCCAACTGCTATATATACATTATATACACATATATGTTTTATGCTATATATACATATACATATATATACATACACACGTATATGTATATATAGCATAAAACATGTATATGTATGTGTATATGTGTGTACATGTATATATACACATACATGTGTGTATGTGTATATATACATGTACACACATATACACAGTGTATATGTATATATAGCATAAAACATATATATGTGTGTGAATTTAGAGCATAGAACACATTGTAGGTGCTCATGAACTATTAGCTAAATATCTATTTAGGCGACTATAACAAAATAAATTATGGAGATTGGGAAATCCAAGATCAAAATTCAAGTCCCAGATTTGGTTCACAGTGAAGAGCTGTTTCCTAGATGACAGACTTTTTGCTGTAACCTTGTTTGCCCTTGATACACTTTATTTATTAGCCAAACACAGTTGACTTCTTATCACTGAATCCTTATAACTAGCTTATACTTAGAAAATTCCAGAAAACTTACCTCTGGATTCTGTCTTAGTTCTTAAGGAAAAAACACCCAAGTGACTATTCATGGTAATTGATTGAATTTGTAAATAAGCATTCCTTAATGATAAAGTTGATAATCTAAGAAATCCTAACTACAGAGAACAAGGTAAGACATCATATATACTTTATTTTGTAACTAGGCATTTTTTTCTTTTTTTGAAGTTTTTTTTTCCTTTTTTTTTTTAATTCCATGAGTGATAAAGACAGAGATAAGCACTCCCAACACAGTCCTGATAAAGCAATTCCCCTTAACCTCGGACAGCCCAGATCATGGGCAGACATGGAATGTGCAGTAAGTTGGTAATGGTTAATTATAGTAACTTGATAAAATATTTAAAAGCCATTAAAATTATAATGTGTGTATAACACTGATACCTAAAAATAGATTTATGAAATACTGATCTATGAGAACAAAACAATGTCAAGATGAAGGGCGGGATATAAAATGAGCTGATATTTTAAAGGTAAAGGATCTTTCATTTTTCTGTATAAGGAGCATTATGTAATAGTACCATGAATTTTTAAAATAAGGCACTAGCAAAGATTTTTAGAATGCAAATACTGTCACACTTTAAATGACACATCAAGTTGGAGGAAACTTATGAGAAGAGAGTGAAGAAATTTGAGTTTAAATGTTTGATTTAGAGGGCCAGCAGGTGGTGTGATGGTTAAGGAGTTGGATTCACACGTGACCTATGACAGGTTGAGTCCCAGTCCAGGTGTCTTGAAACTCCCACTGTGTCATGTGCTGATAGATCCAAAATCCTGAGAGGAGAATGAAGGAGAAGGGATTGGGAGGTGGCCATCCCCCGTAGGGGTGATTTTTCACTTTCCCTCTCTTTGTCTCCCTCTGGTGAGCACATGTGCCCCCTGGCAAAAACTTAAAAATAAAAAAAATTTAAAAAAAAAACAACATGCTTACTTAGTTGATTTTTTTTTCTACTTAATGCATCTTTAAATTTATTGCATACTAGTAAATCCAGATTAGTCTCATTCTCTCTAAAGGCAATATAGAATATATTTTGAGGAGACTAACATTAAGGGTTTTTTTATTTTAATTAAGGTACAGGGCCAGCAGGTAGCATGGTGGTTAAGGTGCTGGACTCCCACATGGCTGGCCACAGTTCAAGTCCTGAACCTGGCAGCTTGCTCTCTCTCTTTCTGTCTCTCTATGATGAATTAAAAATAATAGTATTAAATTAATTCTTTTTTATAATTAAGGTACAATTTATATAAAGTAAAATTTACCCTTTTTAGTGTATGGTTTTAAGGTTTGACTAATGTCTACCTTCAATCATAATTTTGGTAAGTATTGCCAAATTGTTTTTTGAAGTTATACCAGTTAATGCTCCCACAGCAATTGATGATTACTTGCTCTCCTGCAGCCTTGCCATTTCAGATGTGTCATCAATTTTTTTTAATCTTTCTATAGGTGAAAGTAATATTGCATTGTCATTTAAAATTTCATGTATCTTATGAAGAAACTGAGCATCTTTTCCATTATATACAATTCATTTATATTCCCTTCTCTGGAACCATT